TTAACTTAGGACAAAGAAACATGCACCTCTACCCAGCCAAATCATTGCAATTAGTGTGCGGGGGAGGGGGAGTTCCTTTTTGTGTGGACTGGGTAATAAAAAGAATGCCGTGAAAAGTGAAATTTGCACGTTTGTTAATATCACCGAGCCTGGCAACTGCCTGGGGCACCGGGCTTGGGGGCTGTTTTTGGTGTTAACCACGAAAGGGGAAATAGAATGAAGTAACATCTTTCAGGTATTCCATCTGCGGATTCATTTTTCACTGACCTCCTAGAACATTCTGGACCTTTGTAGAATCTCATGGAACCTTCCAGACTTTCTGAGGACAGAGAACGACATTTTCCTTGAACCGCCTAGAACATTGTCAGTCGTGCCCTAGCAGCTATATAAGGGGTGGGTTAACCAGGGTTAACATGCTAAGGCATGAAGAAGTGAGCTGAAGAAGTGGGCTGTAGCCCATGAAAGCTTATGCTGAAATAAATGTGTTGGTCTCTAAGGTGCCACAGGTTCTCCAATGCTAAGGCTGTCATTTCCTGTAACACTGTTTAATACTGGTCCACCTGATGTTGATGCACAGTTCAACTTCTTGATGTTAGTACATTTCAGTTATCCTTAAAATTAAAAAGTTTCTATATCCTTAGAGCAGTGGTTCTCAACCTGTGGCCCGCGAGCCAATCAGAGCCCATGTGACATCCTCAGAGCCATACAGGTAGTATTGGATGCGCCCCACAATGGTAAATAGGTTGAGAACCACTTTTTTAGAGGAAACTACTTTTATTTGGTTATATATGGCATGAATAAATACAGGTTTACAGATTCTAGCATGCAAATGTATCGTCTTTTATGACAGGAAAAAATCATGCATGCAAATCGTGCATCAAAGTCGTGAAATGGGCTACAAATGCGCTAAAAATAATTTATTCAAAAGTTTAACAAATGGGTGGGGGGGAGGGGCACTGAAGACACTCCTCACCTGGGGCACCATTTGGTCTAGGGCAGAGGTGGCCAACCTGAGCCTGAGAAGGAGCCAGAATTTACCAATGTACATTGCCAAAGAGCCACAGTAATACATCAGCAGCCCCCCCATCAGCTCCCCCACCCTGCTCCCAGTGCCTCCCACCCAGCAGCAGCCAATCAGCGCCTTCCCCTCCCTCCCTGCACCTCCTGATCAGCTGTTTCAATCAGCTGTTTCCTGGGGAGCAGGAGGCTGTGGGGAGGAGCAGGGAGGGCACAGCAGGCTCAGGCGAGGAGTGGAGTGGGGCAGAGCCTGGGGCAGAGCCAGGGGTTGAGCAGTGAGCACCCCCGGCACATTAGAAAGTTGGCGCCTGTAGCTCCAGCCCCGGAGTCGGTGCCTATACAAGGAGCCGCATATTAACTTCTGAAGAGCCGCATGTGGCTCCGGAGCCACAGGTTGGCCACCCCTGTCTAGGGCCAGCCCTGGGTAAAACTGGGTAGCATAGACCAGGCCTAAAGGTTTGGAGACAAAGTCAGCAGTGGATACCAAAGAGCAAGACGTCAGCAGGCCTCAGTAAGAGTGCACTGGCAGAAATCAGTCTCTATTTCATCCCACAGAACTTCGAACAGGTCCCTAAATCCTGTGAGTAGATGGACCTCACTAACCTAATGGTTCTCCCCAGGCCCATTCATATACAAATCCACAGAAGCAAATGTACTCCAGCACACAAGCTACCGTAATATCATATTTATATAGTATTTCATCTTTTAAGATTCAAAAGGCCTTAACCTACTATATAGCAACATGGCAGAAATGCTATTGCTCTGAGGGCAGCAGCCAGCTAGCACACAGTCTGCTGTACAATGCAGGTGAGAGGAAATTTTGGTCAGAGGCACTAGGACAACAACATTCCCTGTCCTTACAAACAACATCCTGAAGATCTTCAGTCTAAGGTGGACAGGACCTTAGTCATGGTCTCATCTGACAGACCTGCAAAGAATAAAACCGCTCAGAACTTAACTGCTCCTCCACAAGAGGATAAAGGCTGTGTTGCCTCGGCTGGGATTTGAAGTGGTCCCCATTATTTCTCACCTTCCTGCTAGTGGCACAAAATGAAAGACAAGTTGTTTTGTTTACAAAAAAGTCCTAAAATACTTTTATTTAATAATTAAAATTTGTCAACAGGAAGACAGATATACAATGCAATCATTTACTCTACAGAGATTTTGTACATCAGGGAAGCTATCTGGAAGTACAATGCACCAGTTCAATATTGTTTTCTATATAAAGGGAACTTCAATCTTTGCCTCTTGCTTGTGAATCACTGTTTTGGGGGACAGTGAGGGAACCCTGAAGAAACAAGAAATTATCCCCAGTGACTCCTTGCACTAAAAGTATGATGACTGAGATGAAACAAGGATTAACTGGATCTCCTGGGGTGTGAAGGCAGCAGATGAGGGTGCCACATTACACCCCGTAGGACTGGCCCAGCAGATACTTGGCACATCATGGAAGAAGGGCAGTACCAAGAACATGACAAGGCCTCCACACTAGGCAGGCATACATAGGATTCATGAGTGCAGCCCTCAAGCACACTAATGCCGACTGCTAGTCGGCACAAGCTGAGAGTGACCTCCAGCAAAGAGAGTGAACAAACCACGAACAAAACACGCCAGTGATCCAACAATACAGAACCCTCCACCACCCCGTAAAATCCCCAATCCCCCATATTCTTGAGTAACATCTCCCCTGCCTCATTCCAAGTGTCACTTCACCCCCACGGGACAAGTGCTGTGCACATCACTACAGCAGTGGCTTATGTCAGCATTAAAAACATTCAGTAAGAACTGATAAGAGAACATTCTCAGAAGACTGACTGGTTTTAAGGTCACTTTTTAAAACCTCTTCCCCCTCCACAGTGTAATTCTCAGAATGTCCAGTAGGTTTCGCTATGAGAATAGGAAAAGGCAAGTTTCACCCTGATTTGGGAGAGTAAAAAAAAAAAAAATAGAGGAAATCACAATCAAAGAAAACTTATTACATGCCACAACTTCCTGAAATTAAAAACAAAACTTTAAAAGGCAACCGTCATTTCCTGCGTCTGTAGCTCCTGTTAAACAAGACTTAATTGTCTCAAGACTAGGTCTGTTAGCACAGGAGCAGGTTCGTGGGTTTGGTTTTTGTAAAATAAAAAATTAAGTTTACAAGATGCAGCATATGTTAAGATCTATACATTTCCCTTCCAGGGCAACATACCATTGGTCAGTAGTGATTCAGAATATTAAGTACATTAAAAAGAAACAAGCCAAACCAAAAATAGTCACATGTCAGTTTCCTGCCAGGGCAGCATTTTTTTTTTAAAAGGTTTCCTTTGTACACAGCAAATATACACACATGCTTCCCAGCTCTCTGGAATATCAGAGCTTAGATTATTTTTTCCCCCTTACCAAAAAGGGAAAAAGAAAAAGTTCCAACCAGTTCGTAAGGACTATTTACAGTGGAGAACAGGGCCCATCCCGCGGGAGCAATAAAGGGAGCTGGGGGAGTGGTGGAAGAGCTCAGTTCCAATGCGGGTGTGGTCCCCAGGAAGGCGAGCCGAGATGCCTGGATGCCATGGGGAGTATTGCTGTATCATGCGAGGTATAGTGTTCGGTTCCAGCCTGATGGCACTCGAGATGCGTTTGTTCCAGTGAAATGCTACATTCAGATAGGATCCCCCTGCGCCCCAGCTCAGAGCCCTTTTCTGGGTATGTTTTCAAGGCAAAGCTTGGATGAGCCCCAAGGTTCTCTCCCACTATATTGTCCAGGAGATGGAGATAGCATGCGCTTTCAATTCTCTCTCCTCTGGTCTCGCTCACTCCCTCTTTTGGAGGATCATGGCCGATGGAACCTAAAATAGAAGAGTAAAACCAGTGTCACACCTGGAATTTGGAAGGAAGTGTTATGGATGTTAAAATACCAGGCTGTCTTTAATAAATTGGTAGTGTCCCCGCACTGACGGTGTGAAATCACTGGGCTCTCAGTGATAATTTTAGAGGCACTTCACGTCCCTGCACGCCAATCCACCCCAGTGGGGCCTGAGAGAAAGAACTTCTCCTGCACTGCCAAGCCAAAACACTCCCAGCTCTAGGCTGGGGGGGGGCAGCTTTTCATTCTCCATTCACTTCTACGCAGAGACTGTGGAGCGAGTCGGAGGGAATTGTGATGGTGTTTGCTGTAACGTGGGCACCTGGCTACTTGTTTCACATACTAGTTAACAGCCGGTTAGTGGTATATCAGCTTTTGCTCACTATTGATTTACCGGGATTTGAACCCACAAGGTACAGGTGAAAAGCTCAATAACCCATTACCCAGTTTCCAGGCCCACCATTTACAGGCAGGTGCACCCAAGCAGCTCCCCCACACTGGAGAAAGTGAAGATAAAGGTCTGTGAAAGCTGCCTCTGGTTATTTCTCCCAGACGGGATTAAAGCTCATTACTCAATATTAAAGCTCAGACCTGCTCTTGGAATAAGAGGCTCGGAGCACAGCTTTACGAGCAAGACCAGAAGCAGCTATGGCCTGTGTGGAGGCCTGAGGTCTTGTCTCACTCACCGTGTGAAGTGTTTGCTGTCTTCATGGACTTGCATTTCAGAGCTTTTAAACTCATTCAGTTCCTTTCGGATGGCAGCCTGCACGGAGGGGGAAATAAATCCGTTCAGCTCACCCGCACTGTATATTCCCCCCCACCGACGATTTACATAGACCCAGGACGTGCTGCATGTACAAATCTGCTTGTGGCTGGTCCGCACCATCTCAATGACTTTTAATGAATAAAATGAAGGGCACATGTAGTTTTGAAATGGACAGGACTACCCACAGCCTCCATTTCCTCGGCGTTGAAGAGGGAGCTTGCAGACAGCTGTAACCCAAGTGAGGTACTCGAGATCAAACTCAGCAGCTCCCCCATTTCTTCTTCAGCAACCCCACTCAAGACTCAGGTTAACCCGAAAATACTGGCTAATCCCCAGATGCTTGATACCCTGAGGCCTGCCCAGTTCCTAAGGGATGCTGGTGCATGGAACTGGACTGAGACTTTCCTGCAGCGATCCTGATCAGGTCAGCCATAGCCTGCCAAGAACATCCCCCTCTTACTTGGGTCTTCCCAGCATCTGTATCCTGCTTCCTCCTGCTATTGGCTCCTGTCCACTCCTTCAGATCAGAGGCCAGAGCAAAAAGAGGGAGATTGGGCTGGGAATGGGGAGGAAGCGGCATGGAGCCCAAACGGGCCTTGTGTGTAGAGAACAGGAAACTGTTGGCGTGCTGGTAGCGGGTGGGTGCTCAACAGGATGGGGCTAGGGAGCTGGGATGAGTCATTCAGCAGAGGGGAGGGAGACCAGGGTCCCACCACATGGAAGAGTTGAAGCAAAAGGAAGAAGAGCAAGTTTACTTTGCTCACATCCCTGAGCCTAGGGTATCAAACCTGAGGCTCCAAGGGTTGGGAAGAGTGTTCTCCCCATTACCTTGTCAGCAGGTGTGAGTTTTGTCCACGGCTTATCTGCTCTCCGGTCATAGTCCTGAGCATCTGTCACTTCCACATATTCATGAAACCTCAGGATCTTCCTAGCTTGCAGTTCAGCCACTGTAGGCCTTTGACTAAGCTGAAAGCAACAGAAGACAAATCAGCTTCAACCGTACTTGTCACCAGTGTGCATTCTAGCCAAAGACCCCACCATTTGATCTTTATCGTGCATATAAGAGAGATCACTAGCCACAGATCATTGCTTGTGATGTGGAATGCAACAAAGCACCTCAGTATTGTCCTGAATGAAGAGTTAATAATCGCCTCATCAGTGACGTGAGTCTATGGTAGGATTTGTAGTGTAAAAGGTGCACAGGGCCACGATGGCATTTCAAATGAGAGCTACAGGAACAGATGGAAGGGAGGACCTCGATACAGCAATATACAGCAATTGCAGGAAACTGACTGTGTAGGATACACCCCTAACCTGATTCTAATGTGCGATTCCCCCCTACTGCCCCAGGGAATGGCAACATTCACTCAAGTTCCGTATCAATATGCTCTGTAAAAATTCCCTCCCAGCCACAAGTATGGGACGAGTTTAACCCTGTCCCCGTGGGCTAGACCCATCTGGGATCAACAGCTAATCCCGTTGGTATATGGGAGACACAGCGTTAGAATCTGGGATAGTCTGTCCATTTCACACCCCATTCTGGAAATAGTGTCCACAATTCTCGAACCTGGCTGCCTAAAGTTAGATTCCGAAGTCCATGTCTAAGGACCCAAATAGAAGTGGCCTGTTTTTCCCAAGGTGCTGGGCACAAATCCCACTGAAGACAATGGCTAATCAGTTGCAGCTCCCATCAGTTTCTCCCAGGCATTTATTTAGGAACTTGATTTCAGGCCACCAGTTTAAAACCCATGGCCGCTGCTGTTTTAATATGGAACTCCGACACCCCAGTGAAAGGTGCAATAGGAATACCTCGACTGACCAGACCAATTCCCAGCTTGCTACAGTCAGAGCGCTCAGGATAACCACAGAGCAGCCTTATGACTCCCCCCATCCCTCTATGTTCTCTTGGGTGCTTACTACCGCCACCATCCACAACAGATCAGAGAGACGGGAAACACCACATGGAGCACTGCAGTACCTTTCTGGTGAGGCGGCGTTTAATCTCCCGCTTCTCAGCCTGCCGGTCAGCCTCGTTTTTTTCTGGCAAGGGGGCAAAAAAATGTTTCATTTAAAGCAGTGTCACCACCACTCGTTGAAAACCACGGTCAAGACCTGAACACAGAAAACCAGCTTTTCATATCAGTGGAATATCTGCATCTCCTACCGTCTGTCCACAGTAACTGCAGGCATGCTGAGAGCGCTAGGGTCTGAATCAGACATCCTTACTCATCAAACAGTCCATAGACTATGAATGACAGAATGGGCCTTACCTCAGGATGGTTCAGTAGCTAACCAGAGCCCTCTCCAGGCTAGCAGAGGACTCTGGGTAAAATTTTCTAAAGAACCTGAGCGACTTTGGCTCCTGTGGGCCTAAGTCACATTTTAAAATGGGTGTTTGAAAATTCCCTCCCCCCTCCCCTAAATCTATTATGCTAATGGTTAAAGAGCAATACAGAGAAGGAAATTTCTGTTTAAATTCATCTCTAAGCTGACATTTTATTTTCCAGAGTTGATTTTTTAAGTCTTGTCTCTTTTCACCGTTTACACTGTTAACTCTAATTGCCTTCATCATGGGCAACAAAGCTAGCCAGACCATTGTCACCTGCTGGGTTTTATGCCATAGCATGATGCAGTGATCTGTGGGCTGCACATATTGCAGTCGAATGTTTACAGCCAAGCAAAACACTTTTTCTTTAATAAATTCATGGGAAGAAATTGTGCATGTTATTTCACAGTCCTTCAGGGGTAAATTATTACTTGAGTGTTCACACTCTTGTCCAGGAAGCTTCAGACAGGGCAGCGTTTGCTGGTACCCCACAGAAGGGATACAGAACAGTGTGTTAACCCTAGCTCAGTACAGTTTGTAAACGGGCCCAAAACTCTGCTCGAAAACTGCTGAAGGCATACATTCTGCCCCTGCACCCCCGTGATGCTACAACTGAGAAGCAGGGCCTTCTATTGCAGGCTTCTGGATTTTATGGAGTCCCATTTATTAATCATAATTCAAACCATTTCTACTGGGTAACAGTGTAACTGGGAAATCTCATGAAATTGTTTTTATACAATGGTGTAGCCAGGCCACAGAATGCCCTGTCACCACAGTGCCAAGCAGCGGCCCTTCTGTATTTAGCCAATTTGCCCAAGAGATCTCAGTGCATCTGGAGTAAAGTGAAGCATTAAGAGGAAATTAATGAAACAAAGAAAAAACCAGTAATGCTTTTGTTTGGGAGCTTTAGAGCTGCTGTTACTCACGCTGAAGTATGTTCCTTTGCTCCAGCTCTTCTGCTGTTGGTCTCTGACTTAGTCGCCTAAACAAGAGGAGGTAAAAACCATTACACTTGCCCAGCCGTATTCCCGTAGGACACACGGACGCAAACACTCATTTGGAGGCAGCAGGGAACAGAGTCAATACGATACTCACTGTAATCGTCTTGCTCCCCTTTTTCATGACTGACTCTGCCCTCCACCCGCTAACACAACTTTTCACCCAGACAGCAGAATCCACTAGATCGAACTTGGCCTAACTGGGACCTGCTCCCGTGGAGCTGTCTGGGCCAGACAGCAGTGGTGTAAGTAACACAGGAGGGACAAGCTGGTCAGAAGTTGGGTGTAAATGGTCTCACAGTGTAACTTCTAATGCACCTGTATTTGTTGGGCGCTTCAAACATGTTAACTTTCACGTATGGGAGGGCTGGAGCGGAGCAGGAAGACAGCCCGCGTGAGGATGTCAGATCAAGCAGGGCACAGCTGCCACTCTGCAATGTGTGTCACATGGTTCTTCCTTCTCCACCCCAAGGAGTGGGAGCACAACTGGGTGGCACAAGCTGACCCCACACCTAGCGCACTGGTAACCAGGGGTCTGCCCCCTCGTGCTGTCTGAATGCAGCAGAGCATCCACGCTGGTGACGAGTGCACAACTGCAGTCTGGAGCGGAGGGAGGTGAGAAGCCGCTGAAGTGGGCTAGTTTGGTTGGTCAAGTATCTGGCTGCCTCCTTTCTCTCCCCAGGGGCTGAGGTGAGGAGGAGGAACAGGGAGCAGTGAGTGGAAGCAAAGAAGCCTCTGAAGCATTTGGTATTGGCTGCTGTCAGACAGGTACCTGATATCGACAGCAATTCCTGTTCTTAGAACGGCCAGCACAGCAAGGGCTGAAGCAGCCCAGAAACATCAATGCACGGGAATCCCAACTGGATGTGAGGGAATCCAACTCAGCTGTGGGCAGCACGAGAGGGGTTCCCGGTGTGTCCCTCCAGGGCAAGACACGTTGCAGCCCTGCTTTTAGTTTACCCCCACAGAACTCCCACTCCTCCCCAGGCCAAATTCAGCCCTTGGGTAAGGGAGTCGTACCCTCTAACTTCAGGACGTGCAGTACCAGCGCCACCCACAGAATGCCGACGTACAGCGAGCTAGACGATCTTGCCACTTGCACCTGTTTTCCAAATTACATCGGTCAAGTTGCTCACATCACGGCTCAATGTGGCCCCTGGAACTTTCTTTTTACCAGCACACTTCAATCCAGGAAATGAGAAGTCTGACAGGCTATGGGGGTAGGAAAAGTTGGCTCTTCCAGCTCAAATGGCTTCCCCTCCCAAACAGTGGAAACTGCCCTGTGTGACATGTAAATTGCTTGTCTTTACATTATTTCAGAGGGAAATGATACGCAAGCCTAGCACTCCAGCCCCAAGGCAGCAGAGAAAAAGCCTCTTTGTTGCCGCATTTCAGGCAAGCAGATTTTTTGGCTCACCCTTAGTTCTGCCGAAGATTTGAGAGGATTTCTCTTTTCCTCTGCATTTTATACCTGATCAGCGCTGTCCCAATCTGCTGCCGAATTTCATTCCACTCCTCCTTGCTCTTCCGAGGGAAAGCGTTCTTTTCCTCCAGCTCCTCCTGGGTGGCCGTGGTGCCCAGTTTCATGGCCAGTGTATCTTTCCTCTTCACCTTGTTAGCTAGAGCACCTGTGGGAAAGGGAAGAAGGGATCCTTGCATGAGTAAAGACAGCTGTGCCACCAAGCTGTAAAAAAGCGGTGAGACCCACAGGCCAGCCTGGCATCTCTCACACACAATGGTCAAGTACCACAGCTCCCCTGTTGGCAGGAGCTCAGCGTCACTAAGGTAATGCAGCTACAGCACAGCCTGCAGGATGGTAAAAGGAGTACCGCCATCCTGGCTAGAGAGAGGGAGCTGGAAGAGTGTGTGGTTCCTATTTTGGTGGCATCTCCTGCTGGCATTTTCCCCATCAGGCAGGGATATACACGGGCTGTTGGGGCATTTGAGGGAGTGTGGGAAGGGGGAGCATAACACAAGAACGGCCGTACTGGGTCAGACCAATGGTCCATCTAGCCCAGTACCCTGTGTTCCGACAATGGCTGGTACCAGATGCTTCAGAAAGAATGAACAGAACAGGGCAATTAGCAAGTGATACATCCTCTGTTGTCCAGTCCCAGCTTCTGGCAGTCAGGTTTATGGACACCCAGAGCATGGCGTTGCATCTCTGACCATCTTGGTGGACCTATCTTCCATGAACGTATCTAACTTTTTTTTTTTAAGCCAGTTATTCTTTTGGCCTTCACTATACGCCCTGGCAACAAGTTCCACAGGTTGACTGTGCTTTGTGTGAAGAGGACTGTTTGTTTTATACCTGCTGCCTATTAATTTCATTGGGTGACCCCTGGTTCTCGTGTTAAGTGACGGGCTAAACACCACTTCCCTATTCACTTTCTCCAAACCACTGGCGATTTTATAGACCACTCTCGTATCACCCCCGCCCCCCTTTAGTTGTCTCTTTTCTAAGGTGGTCAGCTCCAGTCTTTTTTAATCTCTGGTCATATGGAAGGTGTTCCATACCCTTAATCATTTTTGTTGCCTCTCTCTGTACCTCTTCCAATTCCAAATTGTACCTTTTTTGAGAAGGGGCGACCAGAACTGCACACAGTATTCCAAGTGTGGGCGTACCAGAAATGAATATAGCGGCATTATGGTATTTTCTGTCTTGCTATCTATCCCTTTAGTAATGGTTCCTAGCGTTCTGTTCGCTTTTTTGACTGCTGCTGCGCACTGAGCAGAGGTTTTCAGAGAACTAGTCGCGATGACGCCAAGAACTCTTTCTTGAGTGGTAACAGTCCCCATCGTTTTGTATGTACAGTTGGGACTATGTTTGCCAGTGTGCGTTGCTTCGCACTTTGTGGCTATGTAGCCTGTCAGGAAGCCAAGAGGCCAACACTGTACTGTGGGACACTGTACTGACCAGACTTTTGGTTTGGCTCTTGATGTGTCTAAGTGCGGTTGTGTGTGTGTAGGAGTAAAGCTGGCCTCCCAACGGTGAAACCTTACTGTTATGGCTTTCATCTTCCTCTTCATCCTCCTCATCCTTATACAGGATGGGTCCCTCCGAGTCCGAATCACTCATCCCCTCTTCCTCCTCCTCTTCCTCCTGCAGGGGCTGTGGCATTAGCCTAGGAATGATCGTGACAGATGGTGCATCTCCAATGTAAACGTGAGGACCTGAACTCCGTTCGCCCTCCTGGTCTGCTTCCTCCTCCTCTTCAACATCATCTGGACTAACAAAACGCACACAATTATTATTTCTTTTAACAGTGACAAAGATTCACTTTGAGGTCAGGGATTTGTTCCATCCCCAGCCCCAGTGACAATTTCAATGGAAGCCTATCTAGGGAAGGTAGGTGTCTAGCGCTGTAACCCTTTCCTAGCCAATGGTGGTTTGCCTGGGGCTGCTGCCCCCCTTTTACCCCACACTCTTTCGTGGAAGCCCTGCTGAGCTACGAGCAAGAGTATTCAGACTCCCTTACCCTCCGGTAGCACCTACCCTCCAGGGATGTCAACGTGCTTTTAACGTTCACGAATTGCAGCAACTGAGACAGAGATTACGGGTGGGATTTTCAAATGCACTTAAGGGAGTTAGGGGGTGAAGGAGCCCAAGTCAAGAAGCTTCCTTGGGTGCTTCATGGCTAGTCCAAAACAGTGGCAGGTTGAAGGAGCTCTGCTCGCAGGTCCGTACTATAATCCCTCCCTCATCCCTCCTTCCTGAAGAGTCGGAAAGACGCCTGGCTCGGCAAGCACCAATTCAAGGAGATGGGTTGTCTGAGGCACCTGGGGCTAACCCCTTTCTCCCCCATCCTCAGCCAACCCCATATGGGGTTTCAGGGCTCAAACCTGCTGCCGAACCCAAGCAGAGAGAGTATGTGTGAGCGTGAGGTGGGGTGGGAGACTACCACATCAAATCCCAAGCAGTCTCTCTAGGTCATCAGAAGCAGGTCATGGATGAATGAAGAAACTGAGGATCTCACTTTGTCTTGGCGGTGCAATTAAATACCTAGATTCCTCTGAACTGTTTTTGCTTTTCCTGCCTAGGGTACCAAGGTGATCACCACTTCTCCGAACACTCAATTCCCGGGGCACTTTCCACAATCATGGGTCTTGCCCTAGGACGTGGAGCGCAGCGTTCCCACTCCACAGTGCAGGCTGCTGTGTGCCTGACTGCCCCCCTACCCGTCAGTGCTCCTGCACGCACAGAGTCTGTACTCACACTTTCAGCATCTCAATGGTGACTGGCAGCGACCTGGCCCGGCCCAGGGTGCCGTTGTCCTCGTAGAGGCTGTCGTTTTCGAAGAGCAGCGAGTGAGCCCTGTGCGACCCCTCTGCAGGTGGGGTAACGGGCAGGGGGCTCGTCAACGCCTGCTGGATCCGGATGTGCAGTGGGATCTGGGGCAGCCGCGTTGGCACATGAGGTTCTCCGAACCCCTGCTCTGTCGCCCGCTTGGGCACTTCCAGTGACCTGAGATCTTCCTGTGGAGGGGTCTCCTTGGGCAGTTCCAGGGAGAGCTGGGGTTCCATCGCAGGGCTGGAGGCAGGCAGGGGCGTGCGCGGGGGCTCGGGAGGTACGTGGCTGGGCAAAGGCGGAGAAGGCGACGGTGGTGGGTGAGACACGGTGATATGCACTGGTATCGATGCGGGACGAGTAGCTGTCACTACCCTATCGCTTGGTGGTTTCGAGGCAGCAGTTGACTCCAGCGAGGGTGCCATGTTCGATGGAATGCCTCTCTTAGGTGGTAGGGGCGGGGAAGGCTTTGATGAGCCCATACCACTGTTCACTGCTTGAGACAGTTCAGCTGGAAGAGAAGAGAGATCCCACATTTTATTAGGGCTTTGCCATAGCCCCGGACCCCTCACTCATCCACTACCTGAGCCCAGAAAGCACTCAGGAGGCTACAGGGCCCAGTGGTTAGAAGCAGGCAGATTCTGACCCACTGAGACCGTGATCAGATTGCATGACCTCCTGCAGTCTCAGCTGCTCGCTCCCTAAAGCCAGATGCCAGAGGTCACTGGGTGGCAAAGCTTCTCACTTGCTCTTCTAGCTACTAAGGTAAGAAGTCAGGACAGCAGCCAAGAGTGAGCAGGCTGGAAGAGCTCCGGCTCGTCTCGCTGCTTTGCAGGGAAGGTTGGCGTGGTGAGAGGAACGGCAGCATTTCTTGGGCAGGTGCAGGACATGCAGATCAGTATGCTGCTCACTTAGCAAAGGAATGAATGCAACCAGGGCACTGTGTGTCTGCACTTACAGCCATCACCCAACAACAGAATCTGATACAACATCCCCAACAAAACTCTGGACTTACAGCTTTTCCCTTCATACACCACTTTTAGGGTATTGCTATTTGAAGACAAAAGTCAGTGGGACTGAAACGCTAACATGCTCACACTCAGTTTAGCGGTCAGAGCTAGCCACAGAGAACATTACTGCCAGCCACTCCTCGCCAGCATGAAAGTGCTTTCCCTACACCACGTGGGTCACCATAAACCCTGTTACCAGCTTACCCCTCATCTATGATTCTACTGTGGTCACTAGTATCTAAGGCAGAGCTGATGTCATGAATCCTCATGCGTCCAGAAGGGTTTATAGGACCCATGAAATCGACAGCTGGGCAAGTCCCTCCCCAATTTGTGGGGCAGGCCTGAACTTAACGCAGGGGTCTATGCTGTTTGATGCTGATCAAGGAGAGAATGACAAGAACAATGTGACTAGGGGAAGAGGGCTGGGGTCCAAATGTAATGTACCCCATCCAGAAAATATAGTCTTCAGTAGTGTCTCCCAAAATTGGCAACCTCACACTTGGTATGTCACTTCCGTCCTACAGGAGAACACCCAGTGTTTAAAAAGGACATTGGACTCTTGCTGCAGTGCAGAGCCCCACAGTGGGACTGGGATCCCGTGGGTCCCACAGGACCCACTGCCATAATAGCGGGAGCAGGTGGGAGTGGGATTAATAAAGTCATGCACCAGGCTCTTCAGCAATGGATTTTTGGCCTTTAATATTTATGCAGTAGCAGCTTCTTAGGGTCGAAAGGTTAATTTCCCTCCTGCCAAACTGCTTGGAAAACATCAGTTTTCATCTGTGTCTGCTTGTTTTCACCATCACAGTCACATCTGTATCAACGTATTCCCCAGATCTGGAACACGAGCTACTAGTCCAGTGGTGCTGCAGAACCACAAAAGACAGCAAGGGATGAGGAGATTGTGCTTTTTGGGAAGACTACAGTAATACAGAGGTGGACACGTTTTCCAGATGTTTAGAATTTACAGACTTTTCCTTTACAGATTAAGGCCAGGATTCTGTCTAGTGCTGAATGTCCTCGGCTCCCACTGACTTCTGCTTTCAGTGCTGCTCAAAGGCACACAGGATCAGCCCTAGGAGATCAGGTTTGGGTACTAAGAGCCTCATTCGGAGAGGAGCCAAGTAGCAGCACCTCCCATAAATGGGAGTTAGAACAGCAGAGCACCCACAGGACCAGGCCCTACTGCAAGGGTGCTGTGAATCCAATCTGTCTCCCTTCACGAGAAAGGCAAAGGGGTCTCTCTCACTGGGCTAAAAATTAGTTTCGCTGCACCCAGGACAGTACAAACTCCTCTGACCCAACATAGAAGCCAACGTATTACTCTAGTAAAGGCTAAATTAGCCACTTTGCTGTGAACAACACAGCTGCCCCTGCCTGGCATGGCCTTGACAGAATCCATGCATACACTGCGAACTGCTGTTGGGTAAAAGTTCGTTATGCATTTCCTGAGCCCTACCCTGCCGCGAAGTGTCATTTAAGAGGCCAGCGGCATAGGAGCCTAACGTACGGAATGAGAAAGCAGAGATGGAAGAGACCGGTTACGTTAGCCACATTCACCTCTTTCCAGTGTGGGGCTGTTCCCTTCCATTTTGTGCTCTGTCACCTAGTTTTTATTCTGTCAATCACTGGGGCTTTCACCAGTTCCTTTGGGAGCCTATTCCCCAATCTCACCATTGGATAACACTTCTTGACATTCAGGCTGTATGTTCCTTTGCCTAATTCAAATCCATTGTTCCTAGTTATACCTTTACTAGGTGTTAAATATTTTCTTCCCCTCCTTGGTGATCACACCATCCAAACACACGTCCCTTCAATTTCACCCTTTAGTGAAACGATGCAGGCTTGATACTGCAGAATGGCTCACTCCAATCCTGCTTTCAATCTTTTTGTATCAGAACCCACAGCATCGTGTTGAGCATTGAAATGTAGGTCTGTACAGAGTACAGTTGTGAAATCGGTTGCTGTTTGGATGTGGATTCTCAACAGGCAAAGCAAGCAAAACAGGTGCGAGCTCTTCAGCTCTACTTACAACTCCTCTCACTCCCTCCACACCCTCTGCCATAGGTGTCTGAGGCCCTACCCTGGGGATAGCAGCAGGATGACACTTTGCTGTCTTTCATTACATTTTTTTCTCAGTGCTATCTGCAGTCAGTGCTGGGGCATTTCAAATACCACCCATGTTGTGTGCAAGCAGCTTAAGCAAGCAAAGAACGGTCTTTCCTTGCATGCACAACAGGAACAGTCAGACTAGTTTTGTCATCCGGCAAACAGCAGTTTAATACCATGCAAAGTTCAACTGTAAAACCTGCTAGAGCAGAGAGCATTCCAGAGCAGAAAAAACTGAATTATTTGGTTCGTATTTATTTTTTAGGCTGGAGAAGTCGTGTTATTTGCTCGTGGAAATGAAAGCACTGACCTAAGCCTACTGCAGATAATCCTGCGCTGGCTTTCTCTATACAGCTCTGCCAATGCCTCCCAAACGAGACCTGCATAAGCCCAGCCACCACTATTCTAGAGATGGATTCATTCCACAGCTCTGCCCATCCATCTCAGTCCTGATCTGTGGCACTCCCTGCTGCTCCTGTCTAGTGACAGAGCTGTGCAGTGGTTATGAGATGGGGATTGTCCTTTAACAGCTTCATTCAGTCCACTTAACACATTTCACTTGTGACTTATTCAAGATTTAACCAAGGCATCTGAGACCAACACTTAATATTGGGCTAACTGCATGGCAAGAAACTCCCCCCAACATGTTCTGTTAAAACAGGTTGAAAATAGATGCATTGAATTCTTTATTTAACCAGCACTGGGAAGAATCTGCTCTTAATTTACGTTTTAGTGCTCTAGGGTTTGCCAGACGAGCAGCCCTGCAGCCTGAATTTCTCCGTTTATCCACAGCAGCAAGGGGGGCATGCTTCCCCAACATCCCTGCCTTGCCAATGCACTTTGAGGAAGCACCTCAAGAAGGAAGGGGGCAGTTCAGACTCCACAGTCCACTCCGAGTCCTTTGCCTCGCTGCTGCAACTGGCAGCAATGGCACCGATCCGTGCCAAATACCACAATGATTTGTCATGTGGGTATTTCCCACTGGGACTTACCAGTTCATGAGGACACCAAACGGCTGTAACCAAAAACTTCCATTGATCATATAAAATGGTGATTTACAGGTGAAAGTCTTCTAAGACCCACTAACTATCCCAAGCCTTCCAGTCCAGTACATCTGATATGTTTCCACATTGGTCGAAGATTAAAGATACTTTCTTACAACTGTGATTTTTAATCTCAATCACTACCCTTAACAGAAAAACTAGAGACTGCCTCTCTTGATCAGCGGCTGGATACATCTGCGCTAGGCAGATTGTTCAGTTTGTAGGGCCACTTGAAAGTAATGAACATTTGCTCTGTGCCGATGGGACCAGCACCAACAGAGCTCACCCAGTTTCCACGCCTGTCCAGTGGTCAAGCTTTGAAGATCCTTGATTAGCTCACAGGCCTTCGAGACATGTTACTGTATTAACACAGCAACACAAATCTTCCCTTCCAAACAGAGTTTGCAATCTCAAAGAACGAACAAAAGAGCCTCCTAGGTTTGACTGACAGCCACTTGCAAAGAGGCAGACACTTACCTATTAAAGGGTTGCTATTTCTGTTCACCGGCTTCGGAGGCGGGATGGGGGGCTGTTTGGCAGGCACCACGTTGGTTGTACTTGTGGTAGCAGTAGTGTTAGTGCTGGCAAGAGCAGGGGGCACAGTCCTGGGGGCTGGGCAAGGGGCGACTGTGGAATTGACCGTCTTTGCTACGCTGGTGGCGGCAGTAACAGTAGAGGAGGATGCAGTCCTTGTAGTGCGGCTGGCAGGGACAGGATCCCTCGCCTGCACATCACTTGCCTCCTGAGAAGAGGATAAGGGTCTTTTCGGAGGAAGCAAAGGCTGTTTGGGTGCATGCGGCTCATGAAGAGGCTCCATTTCTGAACTGGGATTGCTACTTGACGAGCCTGCAAAACGAAACACAAAACAAGTGCTTAGAGAGATTGGGGAAGGAGGGGACCCAGGAGACGAGACTTCAAAACAGGTATTTCTTTGTGAGAAACTGAAGCAAGCCTGGTTTCCTACCTGGTCTTTTCTTTGGTTCCTCAACTGGAACAGACTTTCTAAGACTTGATTTCTTCCCAACCTCTTCCTCCAGGTGGGCCAGGTTTGACATCCCAGAACCACCAATGGGGACTGTATGCCCATTCTTCAACGCAGTATGGCTGAGTTTGTCTGGTTCCTCTCCATCTGTGAGGGGACGGGGGTGAGGAATGAACAGAAAACCGTCGGAAAAGGCAAAAGATACTGAATACTTAGTCCTGCCATGAGAGCAGGGGGCTGGACTAGATGACCTCTCAAGGTCCCTTCCACTTCTATGATCTAAAGTCTGATGAAACACACCTGTCAGTAGGCAGTGAACTGGCAACAGATTGCCAACGATTGTCTATTTAAAAATCTGCAAGTATCCACAACACTCCTTTTACTTCTGGACTATCTGGTCCTAGAATTACTTTCTGCATAAAATGGCACATGGTAACATCAGCACCAAGTTAGTTTGGAGCTCTTGATTTCAACAACAATGTGCTAAAGACAGTATAGGGCCTGATCTCCTGTAACTCTGGTTTATTCCAACAATCTGTTTATTCCGCCCCCCATCAGTCTCCCATACAATTGGTTCACTTACAAAGGAACATATTTACAAGGTTCAAAGATAGGATGGCCTTCAAGGCCAGCACTATCCCATGATCAGAAATCCAGCAGCAGTTGCAATCAAGCTCTTGTAGCCTTCTGCATCAGCTTACTTGAAGGGCTTTCTAATGAATCCCTGTACTCTGCTACGTTACAGAACTCAAAATGCTGGCCAGGTTTCCGCTGTATGTACAACAGATTTGTTCTGAAGACAAGATTCATTCAGTGTTCCCAGGGCACGGATACCTTCCGTACTGGTTTGTACATGGCATTCCTGCAGCATTTGCCCTGGAGAATGATGAGCAGCCCTCAAACATTTGAACAATGGAGAAGAGGAGTTTCCTTAAATGAAGTCCCATCTCTCCTACCTTCCTTTTTGATTTAGGTCCAGCACGCGTTTTCATACCCTTCGTCAACCTTAATCCTCACTACTTCTTACCATGTCTTCTAGAGCAGTGTTCCCTAAACTCTGAAAGTTGAGCATTTCTTCAGGAAAACAAAGCCAGCCGCACACCCTTTCAGCCCTGCCATACAGTATTACAGACGCTCTCCCCACCGTAACGCTGTGCACACAAGTGCTTATGTCGGTGTAATTTATGTCACTCCAGGGGGTGATTTATTCACACCCAAGTGACATAAGTTTTGCTGACATAAGCTGTAGTGTAGACCTAACCTTAGCTGTCACCCATTTGATTGATGGGACACGTTTTTTCACTCTCAGCTATTGTTTCAAGCTCTCTGAGAACTCAGGCAGATGTTGCTGTGTTGGTTAAATTTGCTTAAGCTTGGTCTACCCTTAAAAGTTAGGTTGACATAGCTACGGTTCTTCACACCCCTGAACAACCTAACCCCCAGCATAGGCATGGCTAAATCAATGGAAGAATTCTTCAGTCAACCTAGCCACCACTGCTCAGAGGTGGATGACCTATGCTGATGGCAAAACCTCTTCTGTCGTTGTAGGAAGGGTCTGCAGCATGGCACTCCAGCAGCATAGCTGTGCCACTGTTGCGCCAGTAGTGTAGACATGGCCTTAGTGTTTTTATGGTTTTCTTTGCAAACATGAGACGAATTTTAAAACTGAAACCAGGACTCTGGAGGACAATCCGGATGGCATCTGACTAGTCCTTCGTGCCCTCTGTACGAGTTCCCTCACACAGGGAAACGCTGTCCTAAAATCTGCCTATCATCTCCCTTGGACAGTTCCCTAGATATTACACCCCCCTGCCCCGCCTCAGCTATTCAAACTCTCTCCTTATGCCTTCTCATATTCTCCAGGTTCTGGCATGTACAGGATGCTGCAGCTGGCTCTCTCATTCTCACCCCCAGCCATTTCAATTCCAGTGGCTTTCCATAACCTAGTTCAAAATGGTCGTCTTTGCTTTTAAAGCCCTCCATGAGCTTGAGCCAGCCTGCCTCAAGGAATTTGTCTGCTCTCCTTGCTCATCTGGTACTCACTCCTTATGTCCCCACTGTGGATAAACCACCTTCTCTACACCTCTTCCCCACACAGCCCTCCTGTACCTGCCACAACTCCAGCTATTTTCACGTCCCAGCCAGCTGCTCTCCTTTATTTATGTTACAATTTAGAGTTTAGCCTGCCCTGTTTGCAATTTGTAAGGTGAATACTAGACCCAATGCAGCTGTGTAGAACTGAATTAAGGACAGCAAAGAAGTTTATTAAAATGAGCCACTGAGACCTGAATGTCAGAACCCACAAGCCAGCAGAGCGTATAACAAGTGGGTAAAAACTTTTTCTGCTCTCTCCAGAACACTTATCTTTCAGAAAATACACTGATCTTCTCAGTGCAGGATTTAAAACGCGACCAACTGTAGAAACCTCCCACTGACTCACAACAAAAATATCAGCGAGTCAATCTCCAATTTCTGTGATCTAAAATCTGTCCACCTGACAGGGCTTGCCTGGTCCCACATTTTATTTCTAGCATTTTGTTTAATCTTATTGTAACTGTCTTCTCCACTTCCTAACCCAGGTCATGTGACTGCAGCCAAAACACAAAATTCCACCTCTTACCTACACTCCTGCATGCCACCCCCTTGTTATACCTCGGAACACTCTCCCCGTCTGCCATCTCTCTCTCGGGAAATTTATATCCAGCCTACGTTTTCGCTTCCTCAGTTTCATCCCATGACCTCTCATCACACACCTCTGAACACACAAAATTCCTCCCTTACGTATCAGAGGGGTAGCCGTGTTAGTCTGAATCTGTAAAAAGCAACAGAGGGTCCTGTGGCACCTTTGAGACTAACAGAAGTACTGGGAGCATAAGCTTTCGTGGGTAAGAACCTCACTTCTTCAGATGCAAGTCTGAAGTCCCTTAACTTGGTGTTCACAAGGTTCAAGTACTTGTGGACTACTTCAGTCATATTTCACCCTATTTCACTAGAATCTTTCCTCATGGGTTGTTTTAATCATTTTTTGCTGCTTTTCCTACAGTTTGGCTACAATTTTCTGATAAGGAGGACCTCAGAAATGAATGCACCATTACAGGCCTGTCTCAGAGGCATGTGAAAGACACCTATCACCTCCTTGATGGAATGCCTCTACACAAGCAGCACTGAATTTTTGTTTCCTTTCATTTGGCCTTGCAGCCCTAGAAACAAATCAAATTCAACATTATAGATAGCCTATTTCTCACTGGGGCTAGGATATAAACTGAAACATGATCAGAACAACCTGGAGATTATAATGAGCATGAATGTGAAGGAGAGGAGCATGGAGGGATGGTACCAACGGCTGTGCAGAGATACAGATATGACAGAGACACGACAGGAAGCGACACAGAATTCCCCTGCCGGCAGCAGACAGGAAGATGCATAAGAACACGGAACGCTTGTCTTAGGAATTTCTTCCTCATTACACGGCTTTCCTAGCTAGGTGCTGGAGTCAGACAGGGAGCGTGTGCAAAGGACAGACAAGGGACGGGAGGGCACGTTTAGCAAACAGCCTTTAACTTACTGTATTTTATTTTTTAAAGGTGCAACAACAAGGATGGGTTTATGTCAGAGGCAGACCAGCTACACAGAACACAGATAGGCGGATGACAGGTTCATTTGCAAACTCACCCTGCTCAGGGTCTTCCAACAGAACCCCTCTTTTAACCAGCTCCTCTCTTGGCTTTCGCATAGAAATCTTTCGTTCTAAAACTGATATTAAATTGAAAAAAAGCACTCAGAAAACAGGGCAAGAGGAGGGTTTCCAAAGAATGGGTTTTAAATGTATTGGCTCTGTGGATGAAATAAAACTGGCTCAAGTTGCTGCATTTTGCATGGAGGAAGAAGAGGGAGGGAGGGAATTAAAAATAACCTATATTCACACACCAGAATATAATGCTAGCGAAGTGAACAGTCATTTCTCCAACCTAAGCCTCGTTGGAGAAGTTCCTTTCAACTAAGGAATCTTGCATCTTTAAAACTCTTCCGAATATTGTTTTCTACAGTTAAAAGATGTTTAAGCTGCGGTTTTAAGAAGCCAGTGGCTGAGGCCTCTGATCAGTGAATTTGTTGTCCCATCACTAGCAAAGAATTAAGCTTTGATCCCAAACACGCCAGCACTGGGACGCAAGGCTTCAGCCAGCCTCTGCAGCTCACCCATAGCTGCTACTGCTCTGATGGCTAATTGCAAAGGATGAAACAACTTGGCATGTGCTTCCCCAGTGGGGAAAAGTGTGTAAACCAAACTTCAAGACCAGCACCAAGCCTGATGCATTACCTTCTGAAGTCTCCTTGAATTTGTCACTGCTTTTCTTTTTCCTCCACTTCCAAGGTTTGAAAATTTTGCCAAAGCCGGAGAACTTGCTTTTCCTCTTGGTGGGGGGTGTGGTGTCTCCAGATTCCAGAACATCAGCCCCCATCCCCATGTCAGATGGTGGATGATCCACTTCCTCAGCTACACAGAAAGAAAAAGCAAAGTCACGGGTCTATTCCAGTGAAAGAGTCGTGAGGTCCCTCCTTTCCCACCCAGCCAGTCCCTGCCAACCACCTGTGGATACCGGGAAAGTGATAAGCAGTGAGTGATGCAAATTCATGCAGAGGAGATAGCAAGACTCCATGCCTTCACATAACCAGTCAGTATTGAACAGGAGTAGGGAAGCAATCGAGTGAAGTTTTCAGTGCTAACAGGCTAAAGACATACTGCGATGTGTTAAAAATCCCTCAAGTGTAACTGCAAAAAGAACAGGAGTCCTTGTGGCACCTTTGAGACTAACAAATTTATTTGAGCATAAGCTTTCGTGGGCTTCAGCCCACTTCTTCAGATGCAAGTCTAACTGTGACTTAGTTAATATTTGTACAGTGCTATAATTTAGCCCTAGGAGCACAAACAAAAAGCTTTATTGCAGTCTCTTGATCTCAGCTGGAAGCAACTGCTCCGGACACAAGTAGTTACATGAATAAAATACCTTCTGTACTATAGCATGGCAGACTTCCATGACTGTATTTAGACAGAACCTACTGAAGTTATCAGCCCATCTCAACGGCTGTATACAATAGAACTGATTTCCACTCCCCACCCCCATAACAAGCTAACAGCACCGGGCCAAGAGTAACAAAAACTCAGGAAAGCAACACAATGAAACCTTGCACTCCACCTAGTGTACTGGAATTCCCAGGAGAACGCAGCAGGAGAGGATATACTTATGGAACATAGTTCTGTATCGAAAAAGCCTCCTTATGAGGCAAGTTGGGAAGAGTGATTTGAACATAAAACATCAAGATATGCCAGTCACCTTTCTTGCTTGCCTGGCGTTTGCAATTTTGCTGAAACTTACTAGGGGAAGGGGGAATTCACAATCCACAAAAGCCACTGGGACTTTTAGCAGCTTTGCTTTGTATTGAAGATCGCTAGTGACCTACTTCATGGTCATAATTTATAGGCTGAGAATCCCTGGCCTCTAGCTATATGTGACTTGGGAGCACCCAAGTCGCTCTGCAGGACACCGGGATGGTACCCAGTATTGGGAATAGAGAGCCTTACTAAGGGCTTGTCTACACTTAAAACACTATAGCATAGACCTACCTACGCTGACAGGAGGGGTTCTCCCATCAGCCTACAGAATCCACCTACCAAGGGGCAGTAGTTCGGTCAAGGGAAGAATTCTTCTGTCAACATGGCGCTGTCTCCATGGGGACTTAGACTGGTTTAACTACACCGCTCAGGCTAGGTCTACACTACCCGCCTGAATCGACGGCTAGAAATCGATCTCTCGGGGATCGAATTATCGCGTCTCGTCGGGACGTGACAATCGATCCCCGAATCGACGCTCTTACTCCACCAGCGGAGGTGGGAGTAAGCGCCGTCGACGGGGAGCCGCGGAGGCCGATTTTGCCGCCGTCCTCACAGCAGGGTAAGTTGGCTCCAACGGGGTAGGTCGAATTCAGCTACGCTATTCGCGTAGTTGAATTTGTGTATCTTAAATCGACCCCACCCCGTAGTGAAGACCTGCCCTCAGTGGTGTGGAGTTTTCACCCCCCCGTGCAATGTAGTTATGCAGACCTAATTTACTAGTGTAGACCAGGCCTAAAGCTTTTTGTAATACTAGAATGAACCGCATACCCTAATACACTGGGGACTCTATTGTGTATGCACTGGGCTATAAATCACACTTGTGGGCCTTATTTTCTAAGCAACTGTAAATAAAAACACTTTTTGGAGTTTGATGCAAACTTTTTTGGACTCGTGAAGTCCTTGAGCTATACAATCTCAAACTAGGCTACATGACATGTCTCCAGAAAAGGCAGCACCCCTGACCCACGATGACAACTCACTCATCTGCTATTCACATAGAGGAAGTTCAAACCAAGAATCCCATCACCCAGGGCTATAGGGTTTTGGAAAGAGCCAACTTCTAAGTCCAGCACACCCCAAATAGAGTATCCTACGTTTAATCATAACATTTATGTAACATCGGCCAGAAGACGTAGTACCAAATGTCAGAACTTGACATGTTTTAACAATATGTGGGAGATCAAATTTGCAGAGAAAGAGAGAAGAAAATAGGAAAGGCCGACGTGTTGTATTTCACTAGGGTTTCACCGACAGATACTTGGATCTTCATGCCATGACATTGTTCATCAGGTATGTCTGCACTGCAGCCGGGGTGTGTGATTTACAGTTCACGTACACAGACCTGTGCTAGCTTTAATCTAGCTAGCTCGCTAAAAATAGCAGTGATGACATGGCAGCAAGGACTGCATAAGCTTCCGTGACCCCCTGGGTACATACTTTCCTATGTAACCTGTGGCACCGCATGCCCACTGCTATTTTTAGTGAGCTAATTAGATTAAAGCTAGCACCGGTTAGTGTACATGGACTGCAAATCACTCCCCGCTCCACTTATCCACCTGCCGTGTAGACACACTCATAGAAAAAGATTAGATATGCAAGAGCAACAGTCCGAATCTTTTGCTCCCCAGGCAGCTACAGGCAAAGTTACTACGTGATGCAATATTGCTCATAAAGGGCAGCGCTGAAGGGCCCCTGGTGGCCACTTCTTGGGTGAAGAAGTGATAGGATGCCAAACCAGGCCTCCCCAATGGGAGAAGGGAACATACAGAACGTGTTTTACTAACGCAGAGGGAACAGGAAGAGTATTTCAGTGAATCCTACCGGGACATGCAGGACTCTATGTAAAGACAGGATGCTCTTTAATGGCTGCTAATCGTGGGATAAATGATCAGAAACCAAACTGACAAAAACAGTCTGATGTGAAACGATAGAACAGGAAGAGTTTTGCACAGGAGTCAATTTCACGAAGATCTGAGGTGGCAGCGATAGAAAAGGGAAAATCAACCAACATAAAGGCATTTTCCAACATTTGATTGCCTGAACTAGTTGGAACGTCTTTTAGAACCTGACATCCTAGGCCCAAACATGGGTCAATTTGATTTTACCTATAAGACATGTTTCTTCCGGTTCTATACAGATTTCTTCCTCCTGACTCACTGGAGTCCAGCTTCGATGCAGTAATGATCTACCTTCTTAGGCCTTGGCTACACTGGCAATTCACAGCGCTGCACTTGCTGCGCTCAGGGGTGTGAAAAAACACCCCCCTGAGCGCAGCGAGTGCAGCGCCGTAAAGCGCCAGTGTAATCAGCGTCTGCAGCGCGGCACGCTCGCTCGCAGCGCTGCAAGCTATTCCCCTCGGAGAGGTGGAGTACTTGCAGCGCTGCGAGAGAGCTCTGGCGTACTTGCAGCGCTGGCGGCGCGACTACACTCGCGCTTCGTGGCAGTGCTGTGAATCCGCGAGTGTAGCCAAGGCCTCAGTTAGAAAAGTTTGATTCACTCAGCCTCCGTGAAGAGCTGAGGCCATCGCCACAGCTAGGAGCCATTTCAGAAAGGTAGGTAAGTTCAAAACTTGATTCAGTTACAAACAAAGCTGATGAATTATTGCAAGTATGTAAACAGACTAGGGTAGTCCCACACCTGTATGAAAAGCCAGCACACAAGATACCCATTTTAGTTTAATTCATGTTCACCTGGGTTAGTCACAGGAAAATCAGACTGGACTTTTAAACTTCACACCAAAGATAGATTGCCGGGATGTTTCGAGGCAGTTTCTTCAGAGACCGAAGCATTAGTCCTGGAGCCGTGAGTGTAGTTTTAAAGAGCTGCATTCACTTTGCTCAGTAGAGCGTTTTGAAAGTTCACAGGGCAAGCAGACATTCTTGCCAGGAACAAACTGTGAATTGAATTTGGAACTGACGTCCCACGAAGGCATTTGAGCCTATGGTGGGTGACCATCACTATACTGACGATGCAATACCTGCATAACGGAAGACCGGTGTCAAACTCATTTCAAATACATCTCCAGTCAGGACCGGTATAAGAAATGTAAGCTCAAGCGCTTTCTGCCCCCTGAGGTTTCAGAGTGCTGCACTAAGCAAAATGGGCTCAGTGCTCTTTTAATAAGCTGTCAGGTCCAGAGATTAATGAACTGAGACCATAGCTCAAAAAGCTGCAATTTCTCCACTTCCAATTAGCAGGAGGACCATATCTGCTCTTCTTCTACAACCATCTCTGGGGGGCTCAGCGAAGCAAGCAGATGGACCAAAATCCTAGATGCCAACAAGATTCCAAACTTGACACTGAGCAACCAAAACCAAGTTAAATCAGCACAAATCCAAACAGGCTTAAGCATGGGGGTAGAAGTTATCCACTATTTAATTCTGTCACGTCATTCGGTTCTGGCTATCCCAAATACCTTCAGTCAAACTCTACACTACTTCTCCCATCAGTGTTAGCTCATTGCATTGTACTGAGCAACCTCTCACTGAGAATTCTTGTCTGTCAGGAGACCAGCTCCCTTCCTCCTTTGTCTGAAACATGACTCATCCTACAGGCTCAAAGCTAGATTGCAAGCATCACCGGGAAATGACCACTTACACTTGGGTTTGTAAAGTGCCATGCTCCCCAATAGCGCTAATTATTAATGACTGTGAAAGGAAGAGCCTGTGCACACAGCCATTTAAAACAGCCGTCTTATGATGCCACTATAAGCTATATTGACTTTGCATTCTTAATTACAGGGTGGATCAGTTACTGCAGACATGCTTTAGAGTGACATGTATTCCAAGTAGCCTCGCTTACCCAGTGGGTAATCCCCTGGAAGACCAAGGAAAGAATCTGGACTCATGCGAGGGTTCAGTTTCAGCACAGTTCCAGTCGGGACCAGTGAACAAATTTCTGAAAATGGCACAAGGGGAGTAGATTTTGGCACCCACTGAGTCTTCCACCACAGATGTCTGGACAAGGTGGTTTTTCTCACGGCCTCTCCTTATTCTGCTGCATAATGAAGTGTAGGAGGTCTGTAGGCTGTTTTACAATGATGAGTCCAAGAGAACACACCCCTCCTTATCTGAGTCATACAGCTGGGGAACTGCGCTAAAGAG